GTATAGCTTGGCTTAATTTATATAATTATGTCACAACTGATGAATATTTAAACAGTTTCCAGTTTTTCATTATTAAGAGTTGTGTTTTTCATTATTAATGTTGAGTGAATACCATAGTATATACACCCCATTCACCAAAAATTAGAATTATATTCATAATAGTCATATTGTCCAAGCTCTTTTTGTTACTCAAAATTTCTTTTGTTTTTTTAAGTTGGAACTCTTCTTTTACTAACAGCCAAAAATATCATATAACAGATACAAATTCATTTTGTTACTCTCATTTGTAGCCAAATTTTTCAAAATCTTCTCACTCTGGTGTTATTTCCAATTCCCATATTCATTTTTTATTGATTTAAAAAATAAATGACAGTGAAGTGCATTACAATTCTTATTACATGTATACAGCACAATTTTTCATATTTCTGGTTGTATATAAAGTATGTTGACACCATTTCATGTCTTCACATATGTACTTTGGATAATGATGTCTATCACATACCACCATCCTTGTAATCCCCTGTGCCCTCCCTTCCCCTCCCACCCCTCTGCCCTATCTAGAATTCACCAATTCCTCCCATGCTCCCCCTCCCTACCCCACTGCGAGTCATCCTCCTTATATCAGAAAAAACATTCAGCATTTTGGGGGGTATTGGCTAACTTCACTTAGCATTATCTTCTCCAACACCATCCATTTACCTACCAATGCCATGATTTTATTCTCCTTTACTGCTAAGTAATATTCCATTGTGTATATATGCCACACTTTTTTTATCCATTTATCCACTGAAGGGCACCTAGGTTGGCACCACAGTTTAGCTATTGTGAATAGTGCTGCTATAAACATCGATGTAGCTGTTTCCCTGTAGTATGCTGTTTTTAAGTCTTTTGAGTATAATCAGAGGAGAGGGATAGCTGGGTCAAATGGTGGTTCTATTCCCAGTTTTCCAAGGAATCTCCATACTGCTTTCCATATTGGCTGCACCAATTTGCAGTCCCACCAGCAATGTTTGAGTGTACTTTTCCCCCCATATCCTTGCCAACACTTATTGTTGTTTGTCTTCATAATAGTTGCCATTCTGAATGGAGTGAGATAAAATCTTAGAGTGGTTTTGATTTGCATTTCTCTAATTGCTAGAGATGATGAACATTTTTTCATAAATTTGTTGATTGATTATATATCATCTTCTGAGAAGTGTCTGTTCGGGTCCTTGGCCCATTTGTTGAATGGGTTATTTGATTTTTTTGGTGCTTAGCTTTTTGAGTTCTTTATATACCCTAGAGATTAGTGCTCTATCTGATGTGTGAGAGGTAAAGTTTTGCTTCCAAGATGTAGCCTCTCTCTTCACCTCACAGATTGTTTCTTTTGCTGAGAAGAAACTTTTTAGATTGAGTCCATCCCATTTATTGATTCTTAATTTTAATTCTTGTGCCAAAGGAGTCTTATTAAGGAAGTTGGGGCCTAATCCCACATGATGGAGATTAGGGCCTACTTTTTCTTGTTGTATTAGCTGCAGGTCATACTATAGGGCTCAGCCACATCAATGTTTATAGCAGCACAATTCACAATAGCTAAACTGTAGAAACAACCTAGATGCCCTTCAATAGATGAATGGATTAAAAAAATGAGGCATACATACACAATGGGTTATTACTCAGCAATAAAAGAGAATATAATCATGGCATTTGCAGGTAAATGGATGGAGTTACACAAGATAATGGTAAGTGAAGTTATCCAATCCCAAATAATCAAATGCCAAAACTTTTTCTTTTTTATTAAAACGAGTCTGATTCATAGTGGGATAGGGACAGGGACCATGGGAGGAATAGATGAACTCTAGATAGGGCAGAGGAGTTGGAGGGGAAGGGAGGGGGCATGGGGTTATCATTATTATCCAAAGTACATGTATGAAGACATGAATTGGTATGAATATATTTTGTATATAACCAGAGATATGAAAAATTGTGCTCTATTTGTGTAATAAGAATTGTAATGCATTCCACTGTCATATATAAATAAAAATATAATGTATAAAAAAGAATTGTAATGCATTCCACTGTCATCTATAAATAAAAAATGTAATAAAAATAAATACATAAATAGTGTATATTTATAAAATCAATAGCTTTTTGTTTCTTTCATTGTATTGGTATAAAAATCGGTGTTTTGCTATAATGAGATATCACTTCATATTCCTGAGACAGCCATGACCAAAAAGGCAATAACAAGTATAACAACTAAGAAGGATGTGAAGAAATTGGAAGCTTCACATATTACTGTTGGGGATATGGTGCATTCATTTTGGAAAATAATTTTGTCATTCTTCAAATGATTAAACATGGTTATCATATACATCAGTCAGCTCTTCAATGATGTAACTAAAATATCCAACAAGGACAGCTTAGAGGAGGAAAAGTTTATTTTGGGCTCACACTTTCAGAGGTTCAATCCATAATCTGTGGACTCCAGGGTTGGGGGCCTAAGAAAGGGCAGATCATCATGGTAAAAGGACATGGCAGAGGACAGCTGCTCAGCTCATGGCATCTAGGAAGCAGAGAGTGAGGAGCTAGGGACAAAATACAATCCCTGAGGATTTGCCCCAGTCACATGCTCCAGACCTAATTCCTCCAGTCACACCCAACCTGCCTACAGTTACCACCCCATAATCCATTCAAATTATTAATCCAAGTGGATTAATCCACTGATTAGGTTACAGCTCTCAGAATGTAAGCATTTCATTTCACCACTGAAATTCCTGAATTACCTAACACCATGAGCTTTTCAGGGCATACCTCATATCATTATATATGTTGGTCATATGGTGTTATCAAGTCATAATGTCATGTCATCTACTAATTCTCCTATGCATATGCCCAAGAAAGATAAAAACATGCACATGAACACTTGCATGTAAATGTTCATAGCAGCATGATTCATAATAGCTAAAAAATGCAAACAACTCAAACATCCATTAAGTGATGAAGTAGATAAATAAAATGTGATAGATTATATAATGGGCTATTATTTGACAGTATAAATAATGAAGTACTAATGCATACTATGAAGTAGTATGCATACTACGCCATAGATGACCCTTAACACATTATAATAAAGTGAAAAAATTCAGTCACAAAAAAACCAACATATTATGATTCCATTATAATGAAATGTAGGCAAATGCATAAAAAAGAGAAAGATTGGTGGGATTCTAATTCACACTAAGTGGGGAGAAGAATAGAGGTATTTTGGACTAGACAGAGAGGAGGGAAAGTAGGGGAGGGGCCATGGGTGTAGGAATGATAGTAGAATGGATCAGACATTATTCCATATGTAAATATATGATTACATGACTTATGTAACTTTATATCATGTACAACCAGAGGAATGAGACGTTATACTCCATTTATATATGATGTGTCAAAATGCATTCTATTGACATGTATAACTAAGTAGAATAAATAAAGATATATTTTTAAAATAATTGAATTATATGTGTGTTCCTTGTGTAGCCATCGGGAATTTTGACCTTTTTATTTTTTTGTGGAAGGACACCAACCACCTTCCCAATTTCCATTCTGCCTTATTGCCTTGTGTTGTTATCATTGTCTGGCTCAGCATAAATACTGATTCACTTAATAGTAGAGAAATACACTACATTATCTCTTAGATATTTAGATCGATGTATGGGTCTATTTCAGTGAACCACTGGATATGGGAAATGGAATCATTTCTATTAACTGATGGCAAGAAAAAAATTAAAGAAATTGAATTTAACAGTTTATTAGTAAAAAGAACAATTTGTGAATTGGGCATCCCTCAGAACCAGCAGGGGTTTAGGAGATCCTTTCCATAATGTGAGCAGGTGGCCTTTCTAGACAGAAAATGAAAGTGAGGTAGAGAAAAATGTGATTGGTCACTTCTTAGTGTTGTTCTTATTTGAACATGTTCTGATCAGGTGGTAGCCTATGATTGAAGCATGGCTACAATAATTGTCTGAGACTTGGCTATTTCTTACACAAGTATACTCCTACGTTAGGTTCTCTATTAGTAAAATTAGTCAGCTTTTCATCACTGTGACCAAAATACCTGACAAGAACAACTTTGAGGAGGAAAAATTTATTTTGGCTCACAGTTTTAGAGATCTTCTCTCTATGTTCCTCTTACTCCAATGCAGAAGCATGGCATAAAGACATTGTGGAGGAAACCTGCTCAACTTATGCCAGTCAGGAGGCAGAGAGGGAGGGAGAGAGGGAGTGAGGGAGAGAGAGAGAGAGAGAGAGAGAGAGAGAGAGAGAGATCCACCAGGAGAAGAGAAGAGGGAGCCAGGGAGAAGAAAAACCTTTCAACTAGGTCCCACCTCCCAGTAGTACAATCAGCTATCAATGATGGATTAATCCACTGATGAGATCAGAGCCCTCAGGATCCAATCATTGCCTAAAAGCCTCACCTCTGAACCTTGTTGTATTGGGAACCAGGATTTCAGCACAGAAGTTGTTTGTTGTTTGTTTTTGTTTGATTTTTTTTAAAGGGGGGCACATTCCAGATGTAAACCATTACACATACTAATTTAAGTTGCAGTTCTGAGAAGGGAGTCAGAATAAATTAAGTTTAATTTAATGCTGGGTAGCTGCCTTGAGAATGTGTTCCATCAAGGATGCTCACTTGGGTTCAATTCTCAAACACCACTAGCACTTGCTAGCTATGAAAGCTTGGACCAATGACTCTTTGGTCTTTGGTTCCTTCATGAAAAATGATAATAATAATACCCCCATCATAAGGTGTTCTGAGAATTTACTTATATGCAGAAAGCTTTTGGCACAACATCTAACTTGTAATAAGTATTGAATAAATAGTTATCATACAATTATTGTTTACATTTACTATTATCATTATTTACAACAGTTTCTAATCAAATGCTTTCTCTTAGAGTAGGCAAAAGATCTTTCATGGCTGTTGTGTTCTTCTCAAGCCCTGTTGATGTGTGCTGTTCTCTTCACAGGTGCAACATAAGAGGTATTATGCAATTCTTAAGCGTTTACATTGTCAGGTGAACAAGCTTCAATCAAATAGAAGACAATGGCAATGGAACATTCAACAGCTGGAAAAAACTGCAGCTGAACTAAGAAAATGTGTTGGAATGAAAGAGTGACATTGCCATCGGGCAATGTGGAACACAGACCATGACAACAAAACTTTGGGGACAGAATTTTAAGTAAACTCTTTGGTTGCTTAACAACCAGCCTCCACTGGCAGAGGCCTGTCTAAATGACAGATGCGTTTTCTCTTTTTTGAATCAGTTATCTGTTGGTTAAAGTACCTCCCAACCTTACAATGGATGGCACTAGATAGACAAAAGCAATGCATACAAGAAAATAGTGGAAGGACCTTTGTGAATATTTCAAATGTGAATACTATATTATGCTTACATCTTTTAAAATACATTTATTTTATGTATTTTTATGTAGTGCTGAGGATAGAACCCAGGGCCTCACATGTGCTAGGTGAGTGCTCTACCACTGAGCCACAGCCCCAACCCCCATTATGCTTACATTTTAACAATGTTGTATTCACTACCCTACAAAGTAAAAAATTAGAAAAGAAACAATCAAATTTTCAATAATTTAAATTGTTGAGATAGTAAAAATGGTTGTTTTCAAACTTTTTATTACATCATGCTTTTTATAACTGCCTTCATAGTAGCCCACAAATATTAATATTCACAGTAATGTTGCTATATGTTTAATGTTCCAGATATTTCACACAGATTTCTCTTTTATCCAGAAGGTAACAATCATTTTTCTTTCTTATTAAATAACACATTTTAGAGTATTGCAATGCATATTATTTTTGTTCCTTTTTCTGTCTATACATTCTTTTTTTCTGCTGTGACTAAGTTAAAGTTACAATATCATATAAGGCCAACATACAAGCAAGTTCTTGAAAGAAGTTAACTAGTATAGAGAAACAGTTTTATTCTCCTAGGAAAGCAAATATTATATCCATGGCAATAGATCAAATGTTAACTTTTCCTTTTAAAATACAGTGCTCCCTTTCATGGCTCCATTGAGTCAAATACTTAGAGGCAAAACCCAAATATTAGTTATTACAGAGACTAGTTTAAATCTTCACTTGTAGGATTAAATGATTTCAAAGCAACATCAACAAGTCATTTCAAATCCTTTTTCTCTTCACCTTTCTATGTGCCTGAGATTCAGTAAAAGTGTAGTTGATATAAAACCTGATATAAATAATCTCATTATGTCTGACATTAATAGTCTTATCATGGCTTACTATGGTTAACATTTCAAATGGCTCATCCTGTTGTTTAGTCAGGATGATTAAATAATCATGACTCAGAAACACAGCTACAAATGAAAATAGTTAAACCTACAGATTGTAGAGAGTACCTACTAAGCTCAGCTGGAGATAAGGCTGAAACAGATGGTGATCATATAAATATATTTTAATATAACTTGTAGGTTAAGAGTGCTTATATTTAAACTTCATAATTTTAACTATAGCTTATAAAAGAAAAATTGTCTAAACTTTTTAAGTTTATCATGAGATTAAAAATATTTATACATGATAAATAACACCTTGAGTTACAGTTTCAGGAAAATCCAGTGTCTAAGAAGTGACTGCACTAGTTGAGAGTTGTCAAGAGACCACAAAAAGAGGCAAATTGATCCCAGATTGCACAGAGTACAAGTTACTGGGGACTTACTGACACAACCATGGCCAAGAGTGACAACAAGACTAGTGGATCCATATCAATGTGGGCTTAAAAAGAGTGGCTTTCACCCAAGTAGAAGTACACCTGGACTTATCACAAGCTAACATCAAAGATGTCAGGCATATTCCTGGAGCTGACAGTACTAGGGTCTGGTCGTAAAGCTCCACGTACCTCTCTAACGATTTTGTTAATCTGTCATAGTCTGGGTAACTATAAGGCAAACAGGCCAGAGGTTTCTCAGAGGCACCCATGGTGGCTACAATTCAAGATGGTTGCAGTCAGGTTAAAAAATATATATAAGTCTAATCTACTTCAGATAATGTAGTTTTTAAAAATATCATTAGTAATAAACACAATTATTTTCAATATTATGGCAGTTCAATTATTTGAGAGAAATCATTTTTCTTTTCTCTTTATACTCTTTAAAATAATTTCAGATAATGGAGAGCTTAATATTAATCAAGAACTAAAACACGAGGTGGCCTCAAACCTATTGAATTGGTAGATATGACATTTCAGCCCTATCATAAAGCCTAAGGTTGGAAAATTCAAATTATTTACTTTTATTTCAATATAACTGAATCTAGCTTAGAATATGAGACCTTTAGCCTAGTGTTCTGTTAGAGACTCTTTTCTGTTACTATAACAGCATAACTGAGACTGTTTATTTATCAAGAAAAGAATTTAGTTAGCCCATAGGTTTGGAGGCTGAAATTCCAAATAGGGTAGCACGAGCTCTGGCAAGGGCAAGGGCCCCTCTTGCTACTTTACCTCATGGCAGATGGCATCATGGTGGGAGCATATACAGGAATGACAGATCATATTGCAAGATGGGAATCCAAAGAGCCACTGGGGACTACTTGAGGTCCTAGGAGAACTATGCAATCCCTGAGGACCTAAGCACTTTCCACTAGCACCCACCTCTTAAAGTCCCACCAGCTAGACACTACTACTGGGGACCAAACCTCCAACTATAAACCTTTTGGGGACATAAATTATATAAAAACCATCTCATGGTCTTTCTCACATGTTTCTGGTTCCTTTCACCTCCTTGGTTGGATTAATTCCCGGGAATCTTTTTAAGATATTGTGATTGGGATGGTTTTCTTGATTTCATTCTCAGAAGAGTCACTGTGGAAATACAGAAAATCTATGGATTTATGAATGCTGCTCTTGTGTCATGCTACTTCGTTGAATTAATTTATCAGCTCTAGTCTTCTGGTGCAGTGTTTGGGGCCTTCTAAGTATAGACTCATGTCATCAGCAAACAGAAAGTTTGACTTCTTCATTTCCTATTTGTAAATCTTTAATTTCCTTCTCTTGTCTGATTGTTCTGGTTAGGATTTTAAGAACTATATTGAATACAAGTTGTGAGGGTGAACATCCTTGTCTTGTTCCTGCTTTTACAGAAAATGCTTTCAGTTTTTCTCCATTCAGTATGATACAGGCTTTGGGTTTGTCATCTACAGCCTTTATAATGTTGAGGTAAGTTCTTTTTTTCCCCTAGTTTCTCCATTCATGTTTTTAACATGAAGGTGTGTTGAAATTTATCAAAGGACTATTTTACATCTATTGGGATGATTATGTGATTTTTGTTCTTAATTTTGCTTGAGTGGCAAATTACATTTATTGATTTGCATATGCCAAATCAACCTTGCATGCCTGGGATAATACATTTGATCATGGTCTATTATCTTCTTGATGTTTTCTAATGTCTTGCTGATATCTAGGATTTTTGTGTCTGTGTTCATCAGTGATATTGGTCTGTTAGTTTTCTTTCCTTGATGTGTCTTTGTCTGGTTTTGGTATCAGGATTATACTGGCTTCACAGAATGTATTTGGGAATGTTCCCTCCCTTTTAATTTCATGAAATAATTTGAGAATGACCGGTATTAGTTCTTCTTTAAAGGTCTGGCTGAGAATACATCTGGTCCTGGGCTTTTCTTTGTTGGAAGGTTTTTGGTGTTACAATTTCACTACTTGATATTTGTCTGTTTAGGTTTTCTATGTCTTCCTGGTTCAACTTGGGTAGGTCATATTTGTCCAGAAATTTGTTGGCATCGTCTGGATTTTCCAGTTTATTGGAGTATAAAATTTCAAAATAGTTTCTAATGATTGTGTGTGTTTTAGAAGTGTCTGTGATGATATATCCCTTTTCATCTCTAATTTTGTTTATGTGGGTCTTTCTTTCTTTTGGTTAATTTTGCTAAGGATTTATCAATCTTATTGAGCTTTATTGCATTGATCTCTTTATTGCATTGATCCTGTATATATTTTTATTCTCTATTAATTAATTTGGACTCTGATATTAATTATTTCCTGTCTTCTAATCATTTGGAGTTAATTTGCTCTTCCTTTTCTAAAACCTTGAAGTGGAACATAAGTTTATTTAGGATCTATTTTTTAATGTACGTACTCATTTTTTTCTCTTAGAACTGCTTTCCTACTGTCCAAGAGATTTTGATGTCTTCTATCTCTTATTTGTTTCCTAAAAAATTATGGATTTCTTTTCTCATTTATTTATTCTATGATAATATTTTATTTAAAATAATGGTGTTAAATCTCCATGTGCTTATGTAGCTCTCTTTTCTTTTTATATTTATTTCTAGTTGTAAATTCAGTTTTTTTTCCTGATGAAATACTCTGTAGAAGTCTATTAGGTACATTTGATTTATAGTATTAAAGTCAGAAAAATCCTTATTAATTTTATATTTGGATGACCTGTCTGCTGGTGATAGAGGTTGTTGTAAACCACATGGTTGGATCTTGTTTTTTGATCCAACCCATTAATCTGTGTCTTTTAACTGGGGAGTTGAGACCAGATACATTCAGGGTTATTATGGATATGTGTTTGTAGTTTTCTGATATTTTGGTTTGTTTACTACATTTAATTCTGTCTTAATTTTCATTTAGTTGGTTGCTCTTCTCATGGTCACCATCTATTTAGGAGCTTTGGTGGTTATTTTTGGGTACATCTTTGTGTAGTTTATCTTTGAGCATTCTTTGTAGTGCTTCTTTGGTGATCATAAATTCTTGAAGCTTATCCCTCTCATGTAAAGTTATACTTTCTGCATCAATTTTGAAAGAGCTTTGCTGGATTTAGAAATCTTGACTGACAAAATTTTTCTTTAAGAGCTTTCTTTGAATATCTCATTCTGGGCCTTGCTCTTCTTTAGGATCTGAGTTCAGGAGTCAAAAGTGATCCTTAGTGGCTTGCTCCTAAATGAGACCTGATGGTTTTCTCTTGCAGCTTTTAGTGCTCTTTCCTTCTTTTCTATGTTAAGTATTCTGATTATCATGTGTCTTAGGTTCTATTTTGACCTTGTCTATTTGGTACCCTATATGCCCCCTCTATGTGGATGCTCCCTCATTTCTGATATAAGGACATTTTTCTTTTACTGTCTCATTGAAAATGT